GTTCTCTTCTTCAATTTCTTTATTCTTCTTCAGACATGCACATGCTGCCACATAGGAGGAGAAACCCATCAGGACAAGATTCAGCAGTCCATCTGCATTTGAAAGACACTCTTTTAAGGCTAGCAAAGGCCACATTCTGGATAGAGAGGACCACTGTTGGAAAGAGGGGTAAAAAGGACCATCTGTGTTAAAACTGAGCAGCCCTCACTGGACTGAGGGGGAGAGATACAATACCCCCTATATTTCCTGTCTACAACACAGTCCTTCCAACAGTCCCAAGAAAGTTCCACACCCTAACCCTAACCCTGAGGGTACAGATAAAGCCCCAAAAGGCCTCAACAACTCTCAGACTCTCAGAGAGCTAACAATAGATTTTCAGAGTGCCAATGACCAGATGATTGCAAAGAATATAAATCCTTCCATTCTTCATCATTCAATCAGAACTGAAAAAAACGTGACCCGTCAAAAGCGCAGATGGCAAAAGCGCGATCGACAAAATCGCACCTTTGACGTCATCACAGCGNTTGTATTTGTTTATTGTTTCTTTTGTTCATTTTTATTTTACATTACTTTATCTCTGTTGAAAATTGATTAATCAAATCTCAAAGGTAAAAAAGACACAATGGGAAGTCTTGCACACTGGGGTGAACCAGGCTCAGGTTGGAAAAATAAATATTCAAGATTTATTGTTGTCACTAAGGGGTTTGTTGTTGTTTTTATACTGGATTTTTATCCTTGTAAAGGAGCAGTATCACTGAGAGTGAGTTGGGCAGCCATATAAATTTTCTTAAACAAATAAATACAGGTAGTCCTTGACTTACAACAGTTCATGTAGTGACCGTTCGAAATTACAATGGAACTGAAAAAAGGAACTTATGACCATTTTATGACCTGTAGCATTATCCCCATGGTCACATGATTTACATTCAGATGCTTGACAATTGGTTCATATTTATGACGGTTACTGTGTCCAGGGGTTATGTGATTCCCTTTTACAACCTTCTGATAAGAAAAGTTAATGGGGAAGCCAGTTTCACTTAACAACTATGTTACTAATTTAAGAACTGCATGATTCATTTAACAAATGTAGCAAGAAAAATTGTAAAATGGGGCAGAGCTCATCTAACAAATTTCTCACTTACCAACTTAAATTCTGGGCTCAATTGTGGTCATAAGCCAAGGACTCACTATATTTAATTCTTCAATCATTTAACAATGTTGAAATACTTTGCTGTTGGTTCAGTGCTCCTATTGCTTTTATTGCACATTAGTGCAACTCATAGCATTCTTGGGAGAATGAAGATATGGGATATTGTTTACATAAATATGAAAGCTTAAGATTCCATCTTGATAGTTACAGCTTATCAATGTACTGCAAAGTATTTTATCAGTTAAAACAGAATTCAATATATGAAAAATGTCTTCGTTGTTTGAGTTATTAAGAGAATGCATATTTACAAAAGCGAAGGCATTGCGTGCGTGCATATCTTTAAGTCACTGTTGACTCCTTGCAACTGTCTAGACAAATCCCTGCAATTTTCTTGGCAAGATTTCCCACAAATGATTTGCTATTGCCTTCTTCCCAGATTTGAGAGAGGACTAGACCAACTGTCTCTGAGCCTAAGGTGGAGCTAGGACTCCCAGTCCCCTGATTTCTAGCCTAGTACCTTAGCCACCAAACTGGTCCTACAAATATGTCTCTCAAAATTTCTCAAAATTGACAAAATAGTTAGACAGTGCTGTATGGGATTATAGTTTACCCTCTCTATGTAAGGTTGATGTATAACCTTATAATGGAGGGCTGTGGGAAGCAGCCACAATAGCAGCTACAGTGAAGGTGGTTATCTGTTTTCACACTTGCAGGATGAAGTCAGGAGCTCTTTTTTTCCACATTACAGAGGAGTATGTGAGAATTTAGATACTCTTGGTCACCAGAGATGGGGAGAAATTGATTTAATGCATACCTGAATGAAAAAAGAATTGAAACCAAATTCCTTTAATAGTACTGAAATGATCAATGTGCTTTGCCAATTGAAAGTCTCTGTGTGTGAGAGAATGTAAGACAATCTGTGTGAAAGAAAGTAAGTGGGAGAGAGCTGACCTGTATCAATGTATAGTTATTGGAAACAATTCCTTTTAAAGGAATTTAAAGGAATAAAAAATATTTATTTAAGAAAAATAAGAGAACGTGCTCATCGGAAAAATTCTAAATAAAAATGCATAAGAGTGGGAAAATGTGCAGCAAAAAAAATCTAAATTTTAATGATTTTTTTAAAAAAATCTCAGTGGAGGACTTAGAAATGAAAAACAAGAAATCATGAGAAAGTGACATATTCAATGGTCATTGGAAGTCACATTGAGTTTCCTAGACGAATCACTCAAGCAGTCAAGCAATAGGTGTTTATTTTATTTGTTGTGACAAATAAAGAAGACTGCTTCTGCGTGAGATCAAAGGCCATTCTTTCATCAATTTTTATTTCCAGAGGAGCCAAGCAGATGATTCTGGGCAGTCTACAAATGGGGCACAATGAGAAATTTACTTTTCTCATTTTGCCGACAAACAGATATTTGGAAACACATCATTTCTAGTTTTGAAATATAAATTGCCATCCACAATAGTGGACATTGGTTGTGACTAATTATTTACCTTTTTTTTTCTTATTGCTTTTTCAAGCTGTCTCGTTTTTCTGGCTAATATCATGATTTACAGCTGGAAATGTCATAGTTTAATGATGAGTAGAAAATTTCTCTTTTGTCTGTCCTCATTCCAATCATTTAACTTTATATCAGTCTGTTTTTCATTATAATACAGCCTTTAAACAATTTAATTAAATATGATAGTATTTCAGCACTTAAATTATTATATTTTAATACTTTCCCTCCTTTCTATTAAAATAAGTAGACAAGCAATTTTTAATTTGGAAGAATTACATTCAGTTTACTAATCACAATTATGAACTTTCAAGTTCAAGTGTGCTGAAATTCTCCAATCTTCTTATGCTAAATGTTGCACTTGATTATGTGCGAACATTTTTGACTCCTAGTGATTAAACAGATAGATTTTCTCCCTGAAAATTCTGTGTCACAATGTTAATTTTATTTGAAGATTTTTGAATATTCAAATAAAATTCTCTATTTGAGAAGAGCAACTAAGATGATTAAGACTCTGGAGACTAAAACATATGAAGAATCGTTGCAGAAATTGGGTATGACCAGTCTATACAAAGAAGGACTAAGAGGGACATGACAGCAGTATTTCAGTATTTGAGAGGCTGCCACAAAGAAGAAAGGGTCAACTTATTTTTCAAAACACCAAAAGACAAGATAAGAAACAATGGATGGAACAAATCAAGAAGAGAAGCAACCTGGAATTAAAGCGAAATTTCGTAACAGCAATTAACCGGTGGAACTGCTTGCATTCAGAAGCTGCGGGTGCTTCATCATTAGAGGTTTTTAAGAAGAAACTGGACAGTCACTTGTCTAAAATGATAGAGGGTCTCCTGCTTGACCAGGGGGTTGGACTAGAAAATTCCCAAGGTCCCTTCCGGCTCTATTCTGAATTGAATTAAAAAAAAACACTAAAATTATGTCAGAACCAGTACTGAATATTTTTTTATCTAGAGAGATAACTCTCAGCAAAATTCCAGATTTCCATATATTAGTGCTGAAATTCTTATGTTGACTATATTTTCTTACATGCTTCCAATATATTTAATATCAGTAATATAATAGTTAAATTTTCAATGATTCCTTAAAAACTATTGTCTTTCCTTAATAATCTGTTCATATGGCATAGGTGAAGATATTTATCTCAAAATTTTGAATTTTCAGAAGAATAAGCTTGCTGCAAAAACAAAAAAAAATCTCTTGATAGTTTAAAGCATTTATAGAAAAATTGGTAACATTAGAGGTATGCTGATTATGGATACATACTTTTTTTGTGTACAGAGAATTATAGCAAAGATTAGCTTGTATGAGATATATGGATCAGAAAATTAATGTATCAAATATAATAGTATTTGCGTTGGATCATGAATTTTATATATACAAATGGCAAAATGTTAGCAAATAATTTGTTGATCTTAAAAACATTACTTTGCTTAATGTGGCAGACACTTTACTTGGTAAAAAAAGTAATGATAGTACATGTTCTGTTGGAAGAAATTATTATTTGCTCAAGTGAAAAAGTTAATGAGACTAAATTGCAAAATAATATTGGAAGAAAGAAAAAAGGAAGGAACAATGAACAAATGTGTTAGGGAATGCGAGAAAGGGAAAGACCACGAAAGGTGCAGTTGAATGAAACTCATGAACACCTGGAAAACAAATTCATCAACATTTTAAAGAACAACAGGCAATATTTTAAGTAGTATGTGGACATCATAAAAGCAAAAGTGATCTTCCAGAAACAGATAGATATGGCAAGGAACAGTAAGTAGTTTTGTGAAAATTATAGTTGTGCTTCCTTTCCTGTGTGTTATCTTACGCTTTTAATTTTTTAAAATGTATCTTTTCTATTTCTCAAAATTGCTTACTTTGAAAAGGAATAGTGTGATAGGTATAAAGACATGTGCAAATGTATACTATTTTTCCTCAGATATTAATTCTGTTTTCTTCTTCAATTATCTATCTTTTTTTCCTCAGTTGTAGACCCCTCACCTTTATCCAATCAGCCCACCTAGTATTTTTTTTTAAAAAAATTTGTGGATATAATAACAACAGAAATAACAAATTAGATTTAGATCTAATTTTTGACTTTTCTATGGATTCCTTCTTTACTTTTAACTCATAGCTACAATAGTACGAGATAGACTAGAATTTTTTTTGCTATGCAGCCTTGGATTCTGCCTTTCAAATAAAAGAAATTTACATGTCTTCAGAAATCCACTGGACCCTTGTATCGTATTCAAAATACTTTTAAGAAGTTTTTCAATTATTGTTTCTTTAAGGCTTTTCCCCATACCATTCCACTAAACCCAAAGTAGTAGCATGATACTCACATAAAATCAGAGCAAGGAACCACAGAAGACAGAAAATTCTGACCATTTTTTTCCTTTTGGCAATCTTTCTTTTAAAAAGGCAGAGGAGAATTATAATTAATTTGATGGACGAAATAGGTTCCCGTTAGTGGAAGAGGATGTGATGTCAGCTACTTCCCCTCCCTCTCAGAAGAGTTTGAGCTTTCCAATGAGCAAATTAAACAAGAATATCCTGAAGGGGCAGCTGGTGGGTTTTTATGCAAAACTGAAGGCAATCAGCTACTTTGATTATAGGTCATGAACAGTTTGGGAAACAGTTAAAAAAGGAGCAGGTATGCAAAAATAATTGTTCATAATTTTAGCATAGCTTCCTGCAATTATCTTAGAAATTCCCAAATGCCATTTGTATATCTATATGCACAATTTATGTAGATTCAGCTGGGATAATGAGGTTAAAGCAACATTATGATCATCATAGACTAACAGTATTCTGTCAGCTCTCAAAACATCCAACTTTGATCTCCATTATTCAGCAGAAATCCTCAAAATGCATAGGGTCACCAAGGGCAGTGTTTTTGATATCTGAACAAATGTTGATAGTTGGAAATCAGGTGGCAGTATGAACTAACCTGTCATGTATTTCTTCAGATGGTCATCATTTTAGCCATTTTCTGTCCACTGTAGGATGAAGCTCTCTCCTGCATGTTTCCAACCAATACTGAGCTTTCTTTTGCCAATTGGAACCACAATACTTGCTGATATTGTTGATCCATCTTGTTTTAGGTCTCTTTCATAGATGCTTTTTATCAAGTGGGATCCATTCTGTGACTGCCTTGATCCACCTGCCATCAGTTCTTCTTGCTATGTGACCAGTCCATTTCCATTTCAATTCTTTCACTCTCTTGATGATATCATACACTTTTGTTTATTCTCTAATCCTTGGGCAGGTCTTTCTATCTTATCTTGTAATGCCAAGCATATATCTTTCCATACCATCACTTGTATTGATTGTGAGGTTAGTATCCATGTTTTGTCATTATATGTAAGAACAACGGGTGGGTTTCAGCCGGTACAGACTGGTATGGGCATACCGGTTGGTGAAATTTAGTGTGGCTTCCCGTACCCGTTCTTCCGGAGGCCTCGTACCAGAACGCTCCATTCCCTGCAGCCGGCAGGCTGCGGTAAAGGAAGAGAATGCCGGCCAACATCCCCGCCTCCTTCCTTTGCACTTCCCCCCGACACTTTCCCGGTTAGACAACCAGTCAGGCAGGGCTTCAGCCCGCAGGCCAGCATCCCCACCTCCTTCCTTTGTGAGCCAGGAGCTGAGAAACAGAGGCAACAAAGGACACAGAGGCAACAGAGACAACAAACAAAGGAAGGAGGCAGGGATGCTGGCCGGCGCTCTCTTCATTTACTGCAGCCCGCCAGCTGCAGCCCTGCCTGGCTGGGTGGCTGGCTGGGAAAGCAGCGAGGGGGGAGTGCCAGCTACCATCCCCACCTTCTTTGCAAGCCGTGGCAGTAGGCAAAGAGAGGCTTATTTTTTGCCAGCCTCTCAACTGATCCACTCCCCCTTACACATGCGCCTTGCATTGTGGCAAGCACGGAGCGTCTGTGCCTGCATGTATGATGTGTGTGCCTTCCGTGGCGTGCCCAACACCTTCGGACACCCACCAGGTCACCCGCTGAGCAGCAGAGAAATCAGGCTTCGGCAAAAGGAAAAAAGCTGTTTGAAATTAGCTCTCTCTGCCGCTCTGCTAAAAAGGTGGGAACCAAGGCTAAGAGATAACAGGGACAATGAACCATATTTGGTTAACCCCCAGAGCGGTAAGAGGCTGAATTGGGAGCTCTCTGAATTGGCTTGTAGGACACAGAATGCCGTGATCATAGGATTTATTGGGCACCGGTTTTAGTTCATAGAATATATCTATGAATATAATTGGAAGGGATGTGCCTGTGTGAGGGGGGGGGGAGAGAGAAACAGAGAAAGGAAGAGAGAAAGGAAGGAAGGAAGGAAGGGAGAGTGAGAGAAAAAAGAAAGAGAGAAAGAGAGAAAGAAAGAAAAAGAGAAAGAAGGAAAGAGAAAGAAAGTAAGAAAGAAAAAAGAAAAAAGAAAGTGGGAGAGAGATGAAAGAAAGGAAGAAAGAAAGAAAGAAAGAAAGAAAGAAAAAGAAAGAGAACTTATGACCACAATTGAGCCCAAAATTTTGATTGCTTAGCAAGAGCGTTGTTAAGTGAGTTTCACCACATTTTCCAAGTTGGCCATGCCCACCCAGTCACATGACTGCCGAGCCACTCCTACAAAACAGGCCACACCTACAGAATAGGTTCTAAAAAATTTGAAACCCACCAATGAAGAGTAGGTAGCGACACAAAACTTTTGTCTTCAGGCATAGCGGGAGGTTGTTCTTTAAAATTATGCTTAGCTTGCATATATATCCAGTGTCAATCAATGTGTAAGGCATTCATAGCACACAAAAATACATTACAGAAAAAGAGCAAATTTCTGTAATTTCAAAATATTGTGAGAAATATTTTAGTGGGTGAAATAATTATTTTGTGTTTTTATCCCATGATCCCTCAGCTTTGCTGTTTTACCTTTTTTCACAGACAAATAATCTTCCAGTATTAGTTTTCTCGATTTTCTCTGTATGATATTATTTTGAAGGAACCCAGGTAGGCTAGTTGGTTTCTATAATTATAATTCCAATTGAGATTAAGTTGGGATAATTAGAAGAAAGAAGAAAGCAGGAAGACGAAGATGACAATTCTTTAGCTTTTTTATGTGCAAGCATTTCATTTTAATAGATCATTAAACCTCACATTGCTCATGCTTCACTGATCCCAGAAGATTGCTTAGGATGTGTTGAAAAAACTGAGAAATGTTTTTATTAGCTTCTGGAAGGAACAAGAAAAGCAGGAGAAGGAAGACTCCTACAGTAACAAACAGGGGCACCATTCCTGGAGGACCAAAGAAAGAGCTGAAGTGTAATCAGGAAGAATAGTATTTAGTCTCAGGGAAAAGTAAACTCCTGAAAATGAGAAGATAGTGGGGGATCCAAAAATAAAATACTACAGAGTATTAAATGAATAATTTTCCATGCTAAAGAAGTCAAATAGTAACTAGAGAGGTGTTAATGTTCTGATGATGATGAAACTGAATGAAACCAATTTCCTAGAATATAGTACAGAACTACATATTTGGTAACTAAAATCACTTTTAACTCCCCTGGAAAAGTTTTGCAACAATAAAATTTACTTTCAATTTGACAGGGAATTAAGTTAGACATTTTAAAATATTTTTCTTTGTGAGTCCATTGTCACCCAAAATATTTATTTTTTTATTTTAGTTTGTTACTCATGTACAAGATAACAGGAATAAGAATAAACATGCATAAGAACACAAGAAATGGGTACAAATAAATGAAGACATTAAGATAGGGATGTTAGGCACATTCGTGCACTTATGCACATCCCTACTGACCTCTTAGGATTAGGGTGAAGTCAACAGTAGACAGTTTAAGGTTAAAGTTATGTGGGTTTGAAGATGTAACAACAGAGTCAGATAGAGATTCCAGGCATTGACCACTCTGTTGCTGAAGTCGTATTTTATGCAATCGAGTTTGGTGTGGTTTACCTTGAGTTTGTATCTATTGTGTGCTCGTGTATTATTGCAGTTGAAGCTGAAGTAGTCGTTGACAGGTAGGATGTTGTAGCAGGTAAATTTAGGTCAGACTGTAGGCAACCTGGTTCTAGGTTGTCCAAGTCCAAAATTTGAAGCCTGGTGGCATAAGGGATTCTGTTGCGAGTAGAGGAGTGGAGTACTTTTCTCGTGAAATACCTCTGGACTCACTCAATTATGTTAATGTCCGATATACAGTGCGGAATCCAGACAGATGAGCTGTATTCTAGAATTATTCTAGCAAAGGTTTTGTATTCCCTAGTTTGCAGTACAATATTACTGGAGAAGAAGCTTTGCAAGATTAGGTTAACAACTCTTAATGCCTTTTTGGCAATGCTGTTACAGTGAGCTATGGCACTTAGATCATTTGATATGAGTACTCCAATGTCCTTGACAGAGTGTGGGTCATCTACAAAGTTGTATCTATCTAGTTTGTATTTGGTGTTTGGAGTTGCCAATTGTTTGATCACTCAGACACATAGTCAAGATCATTTTGAAGGGCAACAGCATTGTTAGTGATGTTTAATAGTTTTATGTCATCAGCGAAGAGGACGCAGCTGCTTTTGAGATGATCGTAAAGGTCATTTATGTAAAGTAAAAAAAGTGTGGGTCCTAAGACGCTGCCTTTGGGGACACCGCTGTTAACTGGTGCAGGGTTTGATAGGGCTCTCCCTATTTTGACTATTTGTTGCCTGTTTGATAGGAACACTATCACTTATGTAAGGATCCGGAAATGCCGTAAGGTTTTAGTTTTAACAGTAGTTTGTTGTGTATCACAGAATCAAAGGCTTTGCAGAAGTCTATGTAAATTGCATCTATTGCTTTACCCTGGTTGAGTTGTGTAGCCCATATGTTTTTGGAGTGAAAGAGTTGCAGATTACAGGACAATTTTTTCCTGAAACCAAACTGCTTGTTAAAGAGTAGGTTGTTTCTCTCTAAGTGGTGGGTAATGGATTGGTTAATGATTGATTCCATGACTTTGCAAGTGACACAACCTAGTGAGATTGGTCTGTAATTTTCAACTAGGCTGGAGTCTTCTTTTTTGAAAATGAGGATGACTGTGGCTAAAGACCATAGGTTGAGCATGGAACTGGTTCTGAAAGATATCTCATAGATTATGATTAGAGGTTCTGTTATGGCAGTGGAAAGCTTTTTTTAAAAAAGTAGGCACATAATCCATCAGGGCCAATAGATAGAAATTGTTTTTGGTTGCGTAGTGCCTTTTCAACTTTATCTTCTGTAAAGTTGATATGTATCAGATCATTGCAGTTGGTTGGGGCACGACTAGGAAAAGTGGGGCATGAGCCATTGCTGTTCACAAAGACTGAACTGAAGAACATTTGAAGAGATTGGCCTTAACAGTTTCATCATTACAGTCTTTCCTGTTAGGACTTTTTAGGGGTGGGATGGTTCTTGAATCTTTAAGTTTGGTGTTTACAAAATTATAGAAGGTGCAGGTGGATTTTGTGTGTAAGAGGTTTTCTTCTTGTTCCAGTGATAATTT